TCTTTCCTGACCTGGAATGACTTGGTGTAGTTGAGGGTGGAGATCTGCCCCTTGCACTGTGGGAGTCTGCTAAAGCCTCCCAATGGGAAGATCTCGGCTACATGTCTTATGGCAATGGGGGATTCCTCTCGGGCTTTCCCTCTAGCTTGCTCCTATGGCTTTTTGGCTAGGGGCAAGTGAGACTACGGGGCATCTGAACCCCAAAGCCTCCAGGCTTGGGGCTTGCATGTAGGATGCCTGGGAGACAGGATACTTACCGGTGGTAGCATCACACAGACCTGAACAACTGAGCTCTGCTCAGTCGATGGAAGTCGGAAGTGGCTGATTTGGCCTGAGACACAAAATTTTAAAAAATCATTGTGTCTTTGAAAACCTCTTCTGATACTAACTGCAAACTGACAGCCTTGGTTTCCTCTTTTCTAAGATCCTAAGTCTTCCACAGAAATCCAGCTGGTGATAGCAGGGCTTGGGGATATGGCACTGACTTGTGAAAAGAAGCGATACCAGTTCAGCAGTGCCATTGATTTACATGGCGAGCCAGTTGCCTCCCCACCCTCTGCCTTGAATTCCCTACCTATAAAATAATAAATCAATGATTACTATAAAATAGTAAATCAATAGTAAATCTTGACTTCCCCATCTATAAAATCATGTAAATCCATAATAATCCATCATAATAATAAATCATGTAAATGTATAATAATAATAAGAAGAATAATATCTACCTACCTTAATGCCTGCTGTTCCAGTAGCACCCAGGCCTGACTGAGACTGGGATCTGAGCTCTGTGCATAAGGAGAACCAGTCCCTGCCTTAAAGACAGACAAAATGTGGAAAGGGTAGGACATAGATCTTAAGTGATGTGCCCAGGGATAGAGAGCAAGTCGGGGGCAGAGGTGGGGGTAGACTCCTAGCTGCTCTGCTGCCTGTTGGCTTTAACACAGGGGTTATAATTCTCATGAAATATGTCAAGCTTCTTGGATGCAAGGCGTGGTGAAAGGACACAGGGCAGGGGTTTGCTCAGCATCCTTCTTGCAAAGGACAGCAGGTCTTGGAAATAAAGTAAGTTGAGGGGTGCCTTTTGGATCCTTTGGTGTGAAAGGGGCCTTGCCTGAGCTGCCTGCTCTGCTCCCATTGCAACACATGCTCACTGCAGAGGGGGGCAAGAGAGGGGATGCATCGGGGTGTTTCTGATCCTTGTTGCAGCAAGCTTTGTTGGCCTGTAAATCTGCCTGCCTCTCTATCAGCTTATCCCCTGAGAAGCCTGGCTCTTCTCCTCCCCACAATCACGCAAGGCCAGGAGGGAGCTCAGGAGTCCCTCTAGTCCATCCCCTTTCTATCTCCCCACGATGCGCACCGTTCTTTGGCAGTACAATGCAGTGAGCGTAGCTCGGTGAATGCAGCACAGCATGCACTGCCTGTGCCATGGCTAATCCAAACTCCCTGCCCTTGGAAATGGGATCTGCTCCCCCCCAGCGGACACACAACAGGCCCCAGTAGAGATTGAAGGGGCCGCTCTTATGAACAAACAGGGTTCGGCCTGGCTTTAAATTGCACTTTCCTATGCCTTGATGTAGCAGCCAGGTTGGTTCCCTGTCCTCCCTTTCCACTTACCCTCTCACCACCGTCACAGCTCTAGTGCCTGCTCCTTTCCCAAGCTCCTTGCATCGGAGGGGCTCAAAGGGGGTTCTCTCTGCCCCAGAGGTGCCACATATGTCGGGGCCTGACGACTCTGCCCGCCTCCCCTGGGAAGTCACCTGAAATGTGTAAAACTTTCCACATGTCCATCGTCTTAGTCCTCCCCCCCAGCAAAATAAAAGTCAGTGCCTATGCTATGATCCACCCAGCCCTGGCAGGCAGAGGGAAAGCGATGGAGCAGGGATGGTAGCCGGTAGCCACTTGGAAGAAGGGCCGTGGGGGAGCAGGGGGGTTGAGCAAGCTTTTGGTTGGAGTCAGGCATGTGATGTTTGGCAGCACTGGGCCCTTAAAAAAATTAATAAATAAGAACCAGCTCTTTGAGGGAAATAGGGAGCACTGGCCTTGACTGAGCCAAGCCCCTGAGCTGTTGAAGCTAATACCACCTTTGCTCCCGCATCGCTCTGACCCGCAGGATCAGGCCCAAAGCGGCCAGGGCTAGCGTAAGAGCTAACCGACTGCAGCGTTATTTAGCAACCTTAACTGCACCAGGCATGGAGGCTGTTTGGCATCAGGCTGGTGTCTTCATAGTTAATTAGTAGTGTAATTTAAAAAAAAAAAAAGGTGGGTTTAGAAATTCACAGCAGTGCTGGGGCTGGCCAGGAGATAAATAGGATGGGGGGGAGGGGTGTTGTGTGTGTGTGTGTATGTGTGTGTGTGCTCTGTGTGTACACACACCTAAAGTGGATTATCTCCATCCTGGCTTAAAGAGCAGCTGAAAAGAGGAGAGGGAAAGCGAGAGGGGCTGGCTGGGATCCTGCAGGTAAAGCTGCTTGTGCTTCCTGGATGGGAGGGGCGGAGGGCAGGGGGCAGGTTTCATCCCTTCCAAAAACGCCCTTCCCCAATCGGCTTGCAGATGAGGGACCCTGGGGAGACCCCCTGCCTGGGCACGGGGGGGGGCACAGCAGGAGGGTGAGCAGTTCCCCTGGAGAAGGCAAAGAAATCCCCTCCTTGGAGGGTGTGGATATACACGTGTGTGTATATATGTATGTGTATGTGCGTGGGCATGTATGCGTGTGTGTATATATATGTGCGGGGGGGTGTAGATATATGTGTGTATAAACGTGTGTTTGTGTGTGTATGGATGTGCACATGTGTGTGTGTGTCTATGTATACGTGTGCGCGCGTGTGGATGGACGAGTGTGTGGGGGTATGTGTACAGATGTATGCGCGCGTGTGTATGGCTACGTGTGGCTGTGTATTTATATACGTGCGTTTGTGCGTGTTTGAGTGTGCGGGTATACACACATGCCTGGGTATTTAAGATATATAGATATATATATAAGAAACGCATAGATGTATATACAACACGCGTATAGACAAGAAAGACAAGTATACATACTCACGCGCACACGCACAGATACACACTCATACACATCGATATATAAATATGTATGTGTATATATATCTGTGTGTGTTTCTTGTGTCAGCTCAGGCATGGGTGCCATGCTGAATTAAAACAAGGAACCTTCCTTTTGATTTAAAACCAATCCCCGGACCCAGCCCTTCTCCAACCACATGATTATCCTGATTTTTTTTAAAGCGATCGGATTTTTTTTGGGGGGGGTAGTGTCGGTCCCTGGGGTTTTCCCCTCGCCCCCGGGGGAAAGCATCACCTTCCAGCACCCCTCGCCGTGCCCTGCGGCCCCCGCCACACTCAAGCGACTCTTATTGTTCACAATCAGCCCGAGCTCGGCTCCCGGTCCGCACCTTGCTCTCCCCAGGCAGGGGGAGCGGGACGGGTGTCCTCTGCTTCACACCGGCTCGCAAATACAGCTGTTTTGCAGGCAGATGTCCCGGAGGAACGTGGATGGAGACCCTCTTCCCCATGTCAAGCGACCCCTGCTTTCATATATATATATATATATATATATATATACACGCATATATATATATGCACACACACACACACGCGTGTACATATATATTTATATATGCGTGTATACACATGTATCTATATTTATATATGCGTGTATATACAGACATCTGTATAAATGTGCCTGTATTTATAGATGCGTTCTTTTACCTATGTGAGTTCTTAGGGTGTCGCTCCAGAATAAACCTGCAGCTTCGCCCCGTTCTCAGCCCGCCCCGCCCTCCACGCCGAGATAAATCGTTCCAATTCGGAACGCTGGGACACGGGATTCGGAACGCTGGGACACGGGATTCGGACCGTTGGGGCAGGGGCTTGGAACGCCGGCACACGGGCGAGACAAAGGGATCAGGGGCTGTTTGGGGGTGACCAGGAGGGTGAAGCGATGTCTTCGCCCAAACCCAAATGCAATCCATGCCGTTGTATAAAAGAGTTGTGCCGGGATCGATCCCTTTGGGGAGGTTGGAAGGGGCTGATTTTTTCCTGCTCATTGGAGCGCTTCGGATGTTGCTGGAGAGATGATTGGGGAGGGGGGGGGTGTCTGGGTTTGTGTGTGCGCAAATCCTCTTTTTTTAATGAAAAAAAAAAGGGGGGGGGGATAAAACAGCCCCAAAGAAAGTTTCTGGAAAGGTGTTTGGAGCGCATCAGCTGGGGAGGAGCAGGGGATGGGAGAAGAGAGCGTGAAAGTTTCCAAACCACCACCCCCAAAAAGAAAAAAAAAACTTCACACATTTATGGATTTATTTTTTTTCTTGCATTTTTAGTCGCTTCCACCCAGGGAGTGAAATCCGGGCAGGTTGTTATAGCTACCCAAATCCGCAGGGGTCCCCCTGTCTATTTATACCCCTTAAATCTTCCTCTCCACCCCCCACCCACCCTTTTTTTTTTAAGCTACATTTTATCCCTGGCTTGTGGGCCAACGTGCCCCTAATGACTATTAAAACACTATCTCTTTGCAATTAGCTCATTCCTGCCTTAGCGTTCCTGATTGACAGAGGAAGCTGGAGCATCAGAATTCTCCCTTTGGCAATAAGTGCTGATTGGGTCCTTTTAAAGAGAGCTACTTCAAACTTTTTTTTTTCTTTTTCTTTTTTTTTTTTTTTTTTAATATTTGCCTTCAGTGTCTTGGCTGAGAGAAGAGGGTTTTTTTGCGTTTTTTTTTTTTTTTTTTAACCTCTCTTGAGATTTTTGCTTGAGAGGAGTAGAGGAAGGAAGAGAAAAAGGATTTACCTGGCTTGGGCTTGAGACTTGGCTTTTCTTTTCTTTTCTTTAATTATTTTGTATTATTATTGTTCTGATTACTGACATCCATCATCATACCTCAGAAGAAAGAAAAGTTTTGGCAACTCTGGTTTCCCCCTTCCAAAAAAAAAAAAAAAAAAAAAAAAAAAAAAAAAAAGGGCAACAAAAAGGGACATTTTTTTTTTCATCCATGGCCTCTTTTGGATATTTCCTGTTTCTTTGTGGGTTGAGTCAAGCGATGTCAAGTTACCCAATCTGGTGGTAAGTTTTATTTTTCTTCTTCTTCTTTTTCCCCCCTCGTTTGAAAGGGTATTTTCCCCTCCTGCGCTTTCCTGATCTGGGAGATGACTCGATAGACCCCATCCGCTGCCACTGAGCGGGAGAAGCGGACTTGCTCCAGCGCCAGAAACTTTCCAGGATCCGCGTTTCACCTCTTTTATTTATACATCCCTGTGTTTATTTTGACTGGGTTATACCTGATCTCCCCTGCTCCTACTGTAGAGGAGAGCGCGGGCGAGAGGCACACACGCAGATCCGAAAGTTAGTTGTTGGTTTTTTTGCCCCTTCAAGTCCTTTGATCCTCTCCTGCGAGGAACAAAAGGCACGGAGCGAATTAAAGAGATAATGATACAAGTTGACATGAGCATTTCAAGGTGCTTTCGAGCTAGTCAGGTGGAAGGGAGCTGGGGGAAAGGATGAAAAACATCGCTCCCCTTTGCTTTGAGGAACATTAAAATTAAAAAAAAAAACAACAACCCAAGAACCAAAAAAAAAACCCCGTAGGTAAGACAAGATTGAACAACCTGAGCTGGTTATGTAAAGGGAAAGAAGCGGGGTGGGAGTGGAATGGAGAGGGAATTGGTTGGGACTGGGATTGGGGCGGATTATAACACTATACTATGCTGTGCTCTGCTCTACAGTGTATTGAATTATCGTATATTGCATTGCATTGCATTGCATTGCAGTATAGTATAGTATAGTATAGTATAGTATAGTATAGTATAGTATAAATTTCATTCCATTGCAGTATAGAATAATATAGGCTATTACACTGCATTGTATTTCACTGTATTGCAGTATAGTGTAGTATGACATATGGCATTGCATTTCATTACACTGCATTTCAGTATAATATAATATATAGTACGGTATAGCATAGTATATGGCATTGCATTGCATTGCATTGCATTGCATTATATTATATTATATTATATTATATTATATCTTGCATGTCATTGCATGATATGATATGATATGATATGATATGATATGATATTCTGGGTCACGCTCGGACGACAGACACACGGATCAGACCCGGCCCAGGCCCAGGCCCAGCTCTCAGAGCCGAATCAGGCCCGTTGTCCCGGGGCAGCGATGGCCCCGACAGCCGGCTGCAGGCGCAGGGCCCGAGCCGGACCCGGCGCGCCTCTCCCGGGGTAACCCGCGGACAGACGCCGCGCGGGCTCCGCGCTCTCGGGGGAGCCCGGGGGGCAGCGGGCGGGTTGCACCTTTAAGAGCATTTCAGCAAAAGGGAATAGGAAAAAAAACCAGGCCGTGGAAGTGCGCGGGGCCGGGAGGCAAGTCGGTGCACATCGGTGTAATTACTGCGGCGGGCACGGATGGAGGAGGGAAGCCCCGGCCGGGGGGGCGCTGCTGCGGCCGGGCTCCCGGGGAGGGGAGGCAGAGCCTGGGCACGCACACACACACGCATGCACACAAATGCACACACGCATGCACAAAGAGGCGCACGCGTGCATACACACCCACACATGCACACGCACACCCACGCGCAGGGAAGTGTTGCACACCCTCGCTGACTCCCCCTTAGCTGGGCCAGGGCTTGCCCCAATGTGTCCCCCCGGGGCCTGGGTGTTAAACCTGGTCTCTGCTGCAGGGTCAGACGTGCCCGCCCAACGGGCTCGGGCTCCGCGGAGCACTGCTGCTCCTGCCCCCCTTCATTGCAAGGGGAAACAAGGCAGCCTTCAGCACCTCTTGGGCACATCAGGACAGCACTGCCCCGGGCTGGGGGGGACCTGCTGGGCACCGGGGCAGAGAGCGGGACCCCATGGGGCAGAGAGCGGGCATGCTCCCCTGCTCCTCTCCCACTTGCAGCCTCCAGCGCTGAAGGTCCGGGGAGCTCTGGCTGAGCCTGTGCCCCTTGCCCCTCTGGCTGAGCCAATGCCCCTTTCCTCCAAGAGCGTGCCCAGGCCCTGCTCTCTGCCCGGCTGCATCCAGCTAGGGCAGGAGAGGGCCCAGTGCCCTGCCCTCGCTCCATCTCCCTGCCCTTTCAAACCACCCAGGGCACAGCTCAGGAAAGACCCCAGGAAGGGGGGGGGGTGCGTGTGCACATATGGGGAGGAGAGGGGGTACAGGCATCAGTGTGTGTGTTCGTGTGTGTGTTGTGCATATGGGAAGGAGAGGGAGTACAGGCATCTGTGTGTGTGTGTGTGTGTGTGTGTGTGTGCATATGCACATATGGGGAGGAGAGGTGGTACAGCCATCAGTGCGCGTGTTTGTGCATGTGTGTGCATAAGGGGAGGAGAAGGGGTACAGGCAGTGTGTGCATGTGTGTGTGTGCACATGTATATGGGGAGGAGAGGGGGTAGAGGCACGTGTGTGTCTGTGGGGGCAGTATGTGTGTGTATATATGGGGAGGAGAGGATGGTAGAGGCTGTGTGTGTGTGTGTGTGTGTGTGTGTGTGTGCGCGCGCGCGCACACATGGGGAGGAGAAGGGGTAGAGGCACCATGTGTGTCTGTGGGGGGGTCTGTGTGTGTGTATATATGGGGAGGAGAGGAGGTAAAGGCACCTTGTGTGTGTATGTTTGTGTGGGGGGGGGCATATAGGGAAGAGGTGGGTAGAGGCATCAGTGTGTGTGTGTGTGTGTGTGTGTGTGTGTGTGTGTGTGTGTGTGGGGCATATAGGGAAGAGGTGGGTAGAGGCATCATTGTGTGTGTGTGTGTGTGTGTGTGTGTGTGTGTGTGTGTGGGGAGGAGGGTAGAGGCACCATGCTCAGCTATGTCAGGTATGTCTGAAGCTGGAAACTCATTTGGATGGATGGGAGGGGTGGGGGGGAAGGTAATAAAATGCAAATGTGTTCTTGATAAGACAGGCAACCTGAACACCTGGACTGGAATCATTAAAAAGCGATCTTTTATTCCCAGCCCTGATATAACTTATAATTAGAAACTCTCTTGCATTCCTGATTGGAGAAGGAAATGCATTCCACCGACACCAACATAAATATTCCCTTGTCACCTACCCAGGGGGAAGGAGGTGGGGGAGAAGGCAGGAGGTGGGTGGAAGATCTGCATCTCCACCGAGGAAAGCCAGCAGGATCAAAAAACAGTGGCAGCCCAAAGTTAGGCTCCCCACCGAGCTCTCTCTCTCCCCCACCAGGGTGCATTTTGCTTTCATGCCGTGCTGCTGGCTGGTGGAGGAGCTGGGAACAGGCGGGGGAAGGAGAAGGGGGCTTAATCACTGCTGCATTCCCCCCCATCTCTCTTGCAAGGTTGAGGTAGCAGGTGTCAGACCCTAGTGCAGGATTTTTAAGTGCATCAGTCTTGATGTACAACGTGCCCTTTGCAAGTGCAGCAGGACAGCACCAGGCATAGAGTTGCAAGGAAGATTTGGGCGGGGGGTTGATGTTATGCCGGTGTCCTAAATCCCAGCTTTCCCCCACCCCCACTCCACATTAGGTCTCAGACAGCTGCTTCTTAGGCCCCTGTGACACATTACATATATTACGTGAGTCACTGCTCAATCGCACAATAAACTTAGGTCCGCCACAGGCGGCACATGCAAAATAATAATCACGAGAGAAAAATTACTATCTGGCTAGCCATAAAAGAGTCAACCAGCTAGAAAGTCAGGGCATGACAATGTGTAACACCTCTGTAGCTGGTTTCTAGCCAGCTTGAATTTAAACATGTAGCAGGGCCCTCAGACGCATCTCACATCCGTGGTATAGAGGTGAACGAAAGATGACTAGCCGCATAGCACTGAATGGGTAGGATGGGCAATATGGGATGAAGATCTGCACATAAACCCCCAAATCTAGAGCAAAATTCATTCCCCTGTACATACACCAGCGTTGTTTAATTATCCTTCGCCAAGGCGAAAGCTATCTGGGACCATAAGTGTGCCTCCAGGGCTGTGTATGTTCCGTGGTGTTTGTTTTAATAGCCCACTAAAAAGAAATCCCTCCACTGTTTGATCTCTCTACTTAAACGGCTCTCATCACCATAATATCAAAACACCTCTGCAGAAATAGGGGCACGGATGCAAAAGAAAACTGCTCCAAAAGCGATGCCAAGTGTGTCAGGGACCTGCTCAGTAAAGAAAAAAAACAAGTAGGACTGAACCAGCGTTTCTGACGTATGCTTTGAACTGGCCATTGATTATGGGCAAAGCTTCCTTTATTCCCCCCTCTCCCCCCATATAATTTCTGTGAAGGGACTAGATTAGACTCTGGCACAACTTGTTCTTTTGGGTTTTATGTTTTAGTCAAAGGCACTGCCCTTTTCTGTGGGGCTGCTCCCAGGATTTTGAAGTGAGCTCAGCATTATCCCGTGAGCCTGTGCAGGGACGACCCCGTGCCATTGCTCCTTCAGTGACGCAGCCCTGAATTCTTGTGCTGGTGCTGGAAGAGTCACTCCACTGACGAGCAGCAGTAGTAGGCTTTTACCCTAGTGGCCCAGGCACAGGATAGGCTCTCTAGGTTTCTGTATTTCCAGGGCACGTGTCCCCTGGAACTAAAAATGCCTAAAGGATCATTTCATGCACAAATGTAACCATCCCTTGCATTGCTGTTGTATCCAGGCACTATAGCACCCGGAGCCCACGAGCAAAAGTGGAGCTCCCCAGCCCAGATCCACTGCCTCAGGTGTGTGAAGTGCAAAGGGGCAGCCAACAGCAGGTGTGGTGCAAATTAGATTTTTAAAACCCCATTAGTGATCTAATGTGTTATTTGGGCTGAAGGTGATGGAGGGGCATCAGGAGGTCTTGGAGAGGCCTGAAGGATTGCTTTAGGACAGTGGTTTTCAACCTGTGGTCCAAGGATCCCTAAAGAGTCTGCAAAAAGTGACTGTGATCAATCAAAAGCATGTGCCTACCCACACTTACAGTTCAAAGGGGTCTGCCCCTCCATTCACATTTTTTTTAGGGCTCCACAAAATTAAAAAAAAAGATTGAAAACCACTGCTTTAAGGAAAAACCAATAACAGCAATGGACACTGAGCTCTTATATATTGAATCTGAATA